GCCCCCTGCTGCGCCGCCTTGGGGGGGGGCGCAGCCGGGAGCAGACCCCTCCTCTCCCCACACCGGGGCTGGAGCAGACGGATCAGCTGGGCTCTCAGCTGGGCTTTTGATTCCTTGTTAATAAAGTCGGCTGTCAGGCTTCGCAGCTGCTAATCCCTCCGTCTCCCCGCACCGCAACGGGGCGAGTGGCTCCTGCTAATCAGCCGTGGCTTGGTGGCAGGGATGCGCGACGGCGGGGCGGGGACGAGGGGCATCCTGATGCCTGCGCAGGCTGCCCTGCCACGGCCTTAGCACCTCCCAACAGCCCGATGGCTTTTGAGCATCCGTGGGAGGCAGTGCTGTGGGTGCTCAGAGTATCCCGGTGACCGTGCCGCGGTGTGTCCAGGAGCATACAGGGACATTTCAGAGTGACAGGGGGTCTTGAATCGTCTCTGCTTGAGCAGTAAAGAATTAAACATCATGCACACAGCCCAGCAACTCTGGCATGGCTTGAAATGCCCCACTATGGCCAGTGGCAGTGATAGCGAGGACAAAAAAGCCCCTGAAGGCTGGTGTGCCTGGCAGGTCCCCAGTGCTATGAAGGCTGTCCCCTCCTGGGGCTGGCGAGTGGGCAGGACAAGGGCACTGGGTACCCTGGCCAGGCAGGTCTGCGATGTGCCACTGAGCAATGTGGCGCTGAGCGCCATGGCAAAGCTGGTGGCATCACCAGGAGGTCCCAAAGGGCCATTCTGGGACACTAACACAAGTCAGGATCCGGCCTCAGCTTCACAGTGCCGTAGCTCTGCCGGCCAGCGCTGCCTTCCCGTCTCCCCTTGTCCTTTAAGTGCAACCCGGAGGCGCTGGCAGCGCGGTGCGGCACGCTGTGCAGGGGAATTTAATCACCGTCATTAACCGCACAACAGCATCATTAGGGAGAATGAAGTTCTCACTTCACTGGAGATGTTTAAAACCTCAGTCCGGGTGGTGACGGCATGGGGGGGACCGGACAGCCGGGAGTGTGTGGGGCCTATAGATTAGGGAGAATGAAGTTCTCACTTCACTGGAGATGTTTAAAACCTCAGTCCGGGTGGTGACGGCATGGGGGGACCGGGCAGCGGGGAGTGTGTGGGGTCTATAGGGCTGTCGCCTCCCAGGGCTGGGACGTGCTAGCGCAGGTGCGGTGCCCACCACCACATGCCTCGTGCCACCTCCTCGTGTCCCTGGGGAGCTGGCACCGACGGGCAGCACTGTGGCCAGGCTGCGAGGAAGAGGGGACAGGCACCATCTGGGCGCAGGACGGCCACGGTGGCTTTGCCACCACCGTGCGCTGGGCCCTTGGTTTGCCTTACTTTGTTTTTTTTACAGCTGCAAGGCCAGCAAAGCTGGGGTACCCCCGGGACGTGCCCCTCGGGAGGGTGGGGTTGGCCCTGGCACCTCCAGTGAGGATGGAGGGGGAGGTCCCCTCAGGGGAGGGGACCTGCCTGGAGATTGCTGCTCCTGGGGGGCTGCAGGGACATGCACCTCTCCCCGTCCTGACCCACTTGCAGATGCTCCGCAGGGCCCCGCGCTGCCCGTGAGTGGTGATTGCCCAGCTGCAGCGGGGCTCTTCCAGCACCGTTTGCAGTAAAATTGCAAACTCATTATTTTAATTATGTGCAGCCTTCCTGCGCTAATGAAGTTGGGAGTCTGGTAATGGGGCTTGGTGACGGGCTTCTCCGCTAATTAAGCGCATTGTTCTCGGCTGGAGCTACGCTCAGTCCCCACGCCCCGGGACAGCGGCACCCGCTGGCACCCATCCCTGGGACTGGCTGGGCTTGGGTGCCGCAGTGCAGGCAGTGGGTGTAGGTTTTGTGGGGTGATCGTGGGGCTCTGCCTTTCCCCCGAGGGACAGGGCGTGGGGTATTTGCAGGGCATAACCCTCTTGTTTATCCCCAGGCATTTCCCGGCAGGGAGGTGACACCACGCTACAGTGTGACCATGCTGTGAAGGGCCACACGCAGGCGAGGCAGGTGACTGTGAAGCAAGGAGCAGCCCGCTCCGCGTCCCAGCGGCACACGTGGGCACCCCAGCACCTCGGTGCTGGCTCCATCCTCCGGCAGCCTCGCGGTGCCAAGACTGCCCGCTTTCAGTTCAGTCCCTGCAGGACTCCCTGCCCAGGGCTGCTGGAGCCAGGCGCGATGGACGTGTTGGGGCTGAGGACTCCTCTCTGCCGGGGAGAGCAGCTCTGCTTCACGGGCTGAGGAGCAGCACGGTATCACTCACGCCACCACGATGTCAGGGGACCCCGTGCTCCTGCCGGCAGCAAATGCTCTCATTTATTTGTCGAGGGGCCAGGATAAATCAGGGCCACTCCAGCCCGGCGTCTGCGCTCGGGTAATGGAGACTGGCCACCCCGTGCTTGAGGACATGCTGGCCCTGTGTGTGCCTGTCTGTCCCAGTGTTTTCAGCCCCCAAACTTGTCCCCGGGTCGCTGTCGCCTCCATCACACACTGGCCAGGGAAGAGCAGGGCTGGGAGCGTCCAGGGGTCCCAGCAGTTGGGATCGGGGCCGGGACCTGGCCTTCCCGGTTGCGCATCCTGCCAGTGCTGAGCATGGCGCTTTATAAATGGGATTTCGGGAGCCATCTGTTTAAAGGAGGAGATAATGAATTAGGGGAAGATGAGAAAAATGCTAAGGCCGGGTGGTTTTTCAGAATGAGCTGGGGTTTGCGGGACGTAAAAGATGAATAACCTCCCCACATGTTCAATATTCATGAGCTCCCAGCTGTAGTGAGCGACTCGGCGCTGGGTGGGGACAGCCCCGTCACCGTGTCCTCCCTGCCGGCATGCTGCTGGGACCCGTCCGTGGCCGTGACGAGCTGGGGGACACGAAACACCCCCAAGGATGCTCCCATGGCTGCCCCTTGCCCGCATCGCAGTCCGGTCTGGTTGGCAAGCAGCTCCTCGGCCCGCGTCAGAGGCAGGTGGCTGCTAATTGACGTTTCCTTCCTCTGTAGTTTGATGAAAGGCTCCAGCGACACCAAACTGATTAAAACATCAAGGGGAGGCCCCCGTGCTTGCCTTTGATTTGTCTTGGGAGATGATTGCTGCTCTGCTCAACTGTCCAGCCCGGCTGGCGTGGGTGACCCTGGCACGTGCCGTCCTGGCACCTCTGCACCTCTCCTGCCGGCACCGCCAGGCTGCCGGCACCCTTCCAGCCTCACCGGCTGCCGTGGCAGCAGCACCATTGGGCTCCCCCCTCACCAGGCATCATCCGGCGCCCTCTTTGCTCCTTGCTCGGCCGTGGCTCTGCTCCCTGCAGCCAGAGCAGGATGGTCCCCCGTGGCCAGGAGAGAGCTCAGCCCCCTCTCTCCCTGCCCGCGGGCCGGTGGCCATGTACTGCCGGCTGCAGACCCGCACGCCAGGCACGGGCCACGGGCGCCCCCGCCAGCCTCTGCCCTCCTCCCTCCGCTGTTGCTATTTCACTTTCTTGCTCTTCACCCCCAGGGACTTTCTCTGGGGTTTGGGCCAATTTGCATACATTTTAATCTATAAAAAATTAAGCTGTGCTGGCTGCCGCTCTGAGTCAGACCTCCCCGTCCTGAATCTTAAGGAGCTGAATAATTTTCCACTTTTGCTGAGATGTGTGGAGTCTGATTCACGTTCATCTCATCACCTCTCATTAGAGGAGGGGGCTGG